TTCTAACTACTATATACTATAATATAACTATGCTAATAACTAATAATAAATAAAATATAAAATACAAGAATAAATATTTAACAACTACTAATAATATAATATACTATGCTATGCTAAAAATCTACTTTGTAACAATAATTAATAATATACTTAACTGTCACAAGGATCTAGTAAAATTCAATAATATCAAACATTGAATAACATTATTACAAATTCTAAACTAATTAAAAAACATATTCAATATCACTTTGACAACTAGACTACTTATAGACCTATTAATGATTATGAATTCAATTCTAACTGGTCTAAGAAATATGAACCAAAAATCACTACTAGACCAGACTATTATACAGTAATTCAGTCTTGACTGGATTTTTATTAAATGAAATCAACAGAATTCTTAAATAACTTCTCAATAACAAAACATATAGACCATTTAAAATTAGATATAAAATATTTAAATAAGCTAATCCTATTTTTCTTTAAGCAATAATCATTCATTTTAACCAATGTATTCAAACTTCTCATATATCTAAACAATGAAAAGAAGATTACATCTTTCCAATATTCAAAAAACCTATTTCTAATAAAAATATTTCTAATATAAGACCTATTAGTCTTGTTAAACATATTAAGAAATTATATACTAAACTTCTTACTAACCATCTTAATTTAATATTCATACAATATTCTATTTTATTTTCTTACAACTATATTGCTTTACCTGACAACAGCACCTCCATTCCTATAATCCTTTAAAGAAAAGGACATTGAAAAGGAATTTTGTACTTCTATTGAAGATCTTGGTAAATAAGTTATTGTTACTAGATGAAACATAATATAGAAATACTGTTGGAAATTATTGAACCATTTTATTGGAAAATCCTCCAGTATAGGTTTCCTCCAACCTATCCTAGCTTAAACCTAATTTGAAATAATTAGCAGATAGCATTCATAGGAAATAGAAGGTGTAATGTCACATTAGGTGCCAATTTTGTAACACAAATGTAGTTAGAAATCTTTAATCTTAGAACTTCTGTTTTCTAAAAATGTAATAAAGTTTCTACTCTGACGTTATTGAAATAAAAAAAAAAAAAAAAAAAGAAATCCTCCAATACAGAAACAAAGAATATATCCAGGTTATCAATTCAGAAGTGTGATTGCAAATCAACGAACATGGAACATAAAATATCCTCACAAAAGGTTTCCTCTTGACTATAAAATATATGATCAATTTTTAGATTCATTTAATATAGAGTCAATCATTGATGTAAGTTTATTAAAGGAAAAAAAAAATGGGTTGAATTTTAAATAAATCAAATTATATAAGAAAAAGTCTTGTATCTTTGTTATTATTAGTTTAATTTAGAAGATTACGGATTGGTATCAATGGATGTGAGTACTACAAAGTCTACAAGTACAAATGATCAAGAAACTCGAATATTACCTGGTATTTATTTATTTATTTATTTTTTTAATATAATGCATTTCATTTTATTTATTTATTTATTTATTATGATGTTATTACATTTATATTGTTATTAATTTTTTACATTTTTTTACGTACGTACCTTCAATTAAGTTTCAGAAACTACAGATCATCAGAACAGGAGGAAACATTGATGTTACACGATTGACATAAAGAAATTATTTTACAATACTTGAACAATCTTGATCAGTCTGCTAGTAGATGTTATAATTATAATCCAACACCATTTTTATTATAATAAAATGGTGTTGGATTATAATCATAACATCTACTAGTGGACTGATCAAGATTGTTCAAGTATTGTAAAATAATTTCCTCTATGTCAATGCATCCAAAATTAAGTCGTATGTCCAGTATGCTTGGTGTGTCGTTTTTGCCAACCGACAGATCTTGACAAAAATTATAAAAAAGGTTTCGAATACAAGATAAGCTGTTGATCATCAGTTGATAAATGGTAGTGAAAGGTCACACGAAAAGAAAAGGTTTGTATAAAATTTGGTCGATTATGAGAATTTTGAAATTATTGTGTGGATACAATATTTTTAATATATATATATATTTATATGTATGTGTATATTTTTTAAACATTAATTAGAAGAAAAAACACAAGCATGATTCAGAACATAAAGAAAAGAAACAGAAACATAAAAGAGAAAAAGAAAATAAAAAAGATAAAGATGGAGAACATAAAAAGAAGAAAAGAAAAAAAGGGTTGTATTCATTTAAGTTAATGTTCGTTCAACTTTTTTTTTTTTTATTTACTGGTCGAGAAATGTCTACTGGTATAATTTATTAATAATTCAGGAGAAAGAGGATCATCAAATGAGTTTCTAGTCTTCTAGCCTTATTCCTGAATAATTCCGAATCACAGCTAACTTGACTTTTCACGTCATTTATTGCTTATTTATGAAGGTTGCACTTATGAAACTTGTCATTTTGGGTGATTTTAATTTATCATCGTTTTTTTTTTTTTTTATTACGATTTGGGGAGGTGAAAAGTCTATTATAGTATGCTTGTGATTCAATTAATATGCACATATATTTGTATATACACAAATAATATAATAAATATAGAATATATTGCAATCCATAGGAAAGATTGCATATTAATTTCTTTCATGTTCGTGGAGTTATAAATAAATGTTTAAAGGATAAATGATGATCTGAATAAGTTAGTGAATTTTTAAAATGCAAAATATGAATTTAGGGTGCAGTATGAGTGTTAAGATGGTATGGCATCAAGATTCAAAAACGATTATTCCTGCATCTTCAAGTCATTTATCAATAAATTGAACATTCGAATTCAACAAAAAATGACTTAAAGCTGACAATTTAAATAAATGATTCTATGAGATTGAAGATCTGTATTTAATAATTGATAGAATTAAACTAAAATAAGTTATATCAAATCAAATCAAAATCAAATATATGTTAGCAAATGCATCAATGTACGAAAAAAAACAATTATGAACCACTTTAAAATTCATTGTCGATTTCAAGAAACTTTTGATCAAACATTTTTTTTATCAATTTTTATTAATAGAATTTTTTTTTTTTATTAATAGATTTTTGGTTTTACAAACTTATACGTACAATTTTGAAACGTTTAATAAAATTAACATTTGGGTTGGTACACAGCAAAACCATGCTTTGAGACGAATTTCATATTAGTAGATATCAATGATTAATCATTTTGATACAAATCTGGTATCTGCGCTAAAATTAGAATATTGCATAACATACGTAGTTCCTGATACTGTACATGTATTGTACCAATCATAACAATTAAGTGCTGCGATCAGCAATTAACCAAAATTAGTAAAATCTTCGTGACTTACAAAATTCATCGCTACGTATTAAATGTTTTCTATTGCACACTAATAAAGTAATAGCAATAAAATTTTAAATTAATCTTATGTGTCATTTAATGGTTTTTTATCGCTGAACATCTCGAATTCATTAGAGTTGTTTAATATGTGTAGCTAGAACATCATAAATATTAAGCAAATGATCAAGTCACGATTATCTACAACGGTGTAATAATTACATAATTTTATTAATGATCATGTTTAATTATAATGTCTCACTATTATTTTTATGTATTTTAATTGAATTTTTTTGTATAAATAAATGTTGTTTATTAAAACTTTGAATTTTTCTTAATATTATTCAAATTCTAAAAAATTTGATTTCGATTTGCTTAATTTCAATGGCAACAGAAAGTTTTAATAATAAACAAGATCATGAAAATCCTGAGCAAAATGACATAATTAAGATCGTGCCCTCTTTTTCTGAACTAGGATTAGATGAATATGATGAAATGAATGAAATTATTCGGCAAACTATTCAAGAGTTATGGGAATTTTGGCAAGAAGGAAGATGTATCTGTAGAAAAAGTAAAAGCAAAAAAACAGCTTGCTTTAAAAAAATAGGATTTTACCAATTTTTTAAAAGACAAGAAGAATGCTGTAATATGTCATATAATAATTTAGATACCTGGATCAAAGGGCAACTTGCTTCATTTGCATATAATGATAATTCTACAGTACAAAATCATATTAAATATCAGTATTGTTATGATAGTCAGCACATAGTATGTTTGCCTACTTATCTGACATTAGTTACAATTTCTTCTTGTCGTCTTGACCGAATTAAAATGCATATTAAAAATAATGGAATAGCTGAGATAGTTTATGGAAATACAGAACGTACTTCAATTCGACATGATCGTGCTATAACTAATGATAAAATAAAATATGAACTTAGTAATTATCTTCATAATTATGCTAATCTTTATAGATTTCCTTTACTCGGCCGAAATATGCAAAACTATTCAATAGCAATTATTTCACTTCCAATTAACACAACATATACTAGTATTTATAAAGAATATGTTGCTATGATTAAATCTAACAAAGATGAGAATTATAAAATTATCGCCTATACAACATTTCTTCAAATTTGAAAAGAAGTTGCACCTCATATTCGGTTTATGACTAAAGCATCAGACCTATGTGATAAATGTAAACAACTTCGTGTCAAAATTAGAGTTACTAATAATATTGAAGATAAGCAAAAACTTCAAGCTGAATATGACCTTCATCGTGCTGCTGCAACAATCGAACGTAATCACTACAATGAAAACATTCATATTAGCAAACTACCAACATCAGATGTTGTTCATATTTGTTATGATTAGGCTCAAAATGTACCTATTCCACATTTGCCATGACAGCCTGGAGGTTTGTTTTTTAGATCACCATTCAATGTTCATCTCTTTGGAGTCGCTAATACTGGTTTAGAACTAATGATGCAAAGAAATTATCTAATCGGTGAACATCAATTTCCAATAAAAACACCTAAAGGAGCTAATACTACTCTCAATCTTGTATATGATAGTTTACTTGCTTGGAATCCATCACATAAATATCTAAAAGTTACATGTGATAATTGTAGTGGGCAAAATAAAAACAATTTAGCTCTTTGGTTTTATTCGTGCCTCACAATTATCAAATGCTTTGATACAATTGAGCTTAATTTTATGGTCTCTGGACATACTAAGTTCATTTGTGATTCATATTTTGGAATAATTAAAGCACAATATCATAAACATAATGTTATGAATATGAATCATGTCAAAACAATTATCAATCAATCAAAAAAAGATGAAAGTAACATAGCAGTTAAATATGATAAAAATAGAAAAATAGAATGGAATTATTATGATTTCAAAACTTTTTTTAAACCTTACTTTATTAAATTGGAGGATATGCAAGCATTTCAGCACTTCTATTTTTATCACGATAAACCTGGAAAAGTTTTTATGTCATTAGAATCTAATGGCTTAAAAACTGAAGCTACAATTTGTAACAATATTTATTTTAACCCCTACAAATCTTTAGACATGATTCTCTTAAAACCATTATCTTTAAAGCGCCAAACACAATTATTTAAAGAGATTCGGCCATATGTGCATGATCCTTATAAAGATGAGTTATGTTTTGCTTCAAAAGAGCATGCTTAAATATATTTATCTTTTTAATTAGCTAATTATTCTATAATTTTGTCTGGTAGCTATAAGTTTTGGTAGTTTTTTACTTTATGGTTAAATTTTATTAATAGTATATGAAAGTCGATATCGATATTATCCCTTAATTAACCCCTAAATCAAGACTTATTGTTACGTATAACCATTATCCTAAATTTAGAATGTAAAAACCAGATTAGATAAAAAACTGCATACGAGATTGTGCCAAATCGTAATATGTTAATGTGAACTAAAATTTGTACCATGGATAAAACATGAAATTGGAAATACAACTCAATAAAAATCTCAATTTCAGTTAAAAATTCTCTAAACATGATTTTGCTATGTACCAACCCATTTATACAATTTTGAAACATTTAATAAAATTTCGAAATTACATCTAAAATATTATTTACATATTCCTTTATTTACTTTATTTCATTTTTTTGGATACTTAGCTTTAGCTATAAAAAAAAAAAAAAAAAAAAAAAGCTTACTAATCCCAGTCACTACGTAGAGGTGTATCCATGACTGGGTTTATAACAACCCGTAGTTGTGTCCTCCATTACCACCGGGGTGACCATGGTAATATGTGTAGAACGATCATGATGGATAACATGAACAACATTGTCCAATAACATGAATGATTGTTCACGACACTCGTATCCCGTCCCACTAAGTAACATTCAACGAGTATGCATTATCCAAAGAAGTCCTCATAGGCCTAGAGTTCGGCATATTGTATTTTTAAGTTAAAAGAGCTAACATACAAAGAGGTCACCATTAACCTCAATAGTGCTCAGTTTTCTTGCCTACCTAAAGAAAGAACCTACCAATATCTTTTTTTTGATATTTAAGAGACCTTAGGCAGGGGGTTCAAGAAAACTATTACAAAAAATAAAAAAAACTATTCTAATTTCAAGAAACGAATAAAAAATATATTGTTCTTTAAGCTTCTTTCTGAATAATTTCGAAGAAATTGAATTTTTAAATGAATCTAGGAGATCCATATCTATAGTAGATTCATTTTTTCGGAAAACAGCATAAAGGAACATGGTGCATTTTATTTATTTAGGGTAACAAAAGGTTTCTTGTTGTAGTATAGTACCTTTTTTAAGCAGCATGAGAAGTTTCATAACGGATTTTTCATACAGGACCTGTAGACTCTTCTGTCAAAAAAAAGATACTTCAATAATATTTTAAAAATATAAAAAGGGGATTAAGATAATTTACATTTAAAAAAAAGTAAATCTTCGATTTTTTAAATACTGGCACATTTATTGTTTTGATTATCAAATATGGTAAAACATGTGATCGATTTATTTTGTAATTTCGCATCATCGCTGCTTAAGTCATCATCATTGGTGTCAGTTTCTGAAGTTGCCCAACTAATATTTTATAAACTTAATTACTTAAACAAATATTATATATAAAATATTTGCAAAATATTAAAACCATTTTTTTTTATTTAACTTTTTACAAAGGGTGATTGTATTTTTTGTGTTTGGAATTTGCCAGCAAGTGCAGTCTTTTTCAAATGAACTTTGTTGTCAGCATTGAAGTCTTTTTTGAATGAAATTTTTGCAAGTATTTTCATGTTTTTTGACTTTTGAAGTCATCAATTTGAAGTCTTTTCTGGACAAATATTTTGTTAATATATTTTTATGTCTTTTACTTCTTAAAATGATAAGTTCTAGAGTCTTTGCTGGGCAGACTTAGGGTGTTTTTTCTTTCAAAATCTTTTCTGGGTGAACTTCATTATCTGTGCATCTTCACAGCACTACATGGCTTTGGATTTTTCTAGAATCAGAAGGAGAAAAAGCACTACTAGATGTCCTTTGCAGCAATTCTTTTGAATCAGAAAAAGAAAAACAAGAACATTATAATGACTTTTTTTGAATCTTAATAGGTACATATTATTTTGGATATTGTTATAACGAAGGAATTGGTGCTAAGAAGAATGAATATAAAAATATTTATTCATTTTTAAGAATCTGCAAAGATTGGAGATGTTGATGGAATGTGTTATTAGGTAAAAAATTATTATTTTAATGGAAATAAAGATGAAAATAAAGCATTTATCTGTTATCAAAATCAGCAAAGATAATGTTGGATGTTGTTATGATTAGAATTGCTAGTGAATAGTAATAAAATTAGTGAAATTTAATATCACAGCTGATCAAATTTTAGATGGTCATCAGTTTCACCATTATTATTTAGTTTCACCAGCAACTCTAGTTATAATGAAGGAATTTGAGTTGAGAAGAATAGACATAAGGCATTTATCCATTTTCAAAAATCCAAATAGATAGAGAATGTTGATGAAACATATAGTCCTGTTGTTGTTTTAATAGAATTAAAGTTGAATCTAATCATTTGTTTGTTATCAAAATCAGCAGAGATGAGTGGTGATAGTTGAACATTTAATGCTGATTATTTTTATGATTAAAGTTGCTGGTGAAATTAAACTAGAACAGTGAAATAATATCATTACTGTTGGTAAAATTGGTATTAAATTGGTGATATTTTGTGAAATGAATTTTATCAGCACTTTTAAATTGAAAAAAAAGTAATAATAATGATGTGTCAGTTTAAATAAAATTTTTAATGTCAATAAGAAAAATGATCATTCTTTTTCAAAAAAGTTATATAAATCTCTAAAACAATAAAAATTAGAATATAATATAATTTTTATTAATAGAACAACTACTAATTATAATTAATATTAATAGCAATAGATAAGTTGAATAGAATAAAATATTATAAACAATTTTTATAACAACACTGATAATCATGTGTAGACTATGTGACTTTGCCACCAATATTTCTGGTCAGAATAATAATTAACAGGGTCGGAATTAACTAATTTTGCCCAAGATCACTAAAAGTTTTGCTAGTGAAATCATGGCTTACTTATATATTAAGTAAAACTGCTCAGCTGATAATTTGGCCTAGAAATGGCTGATTTGTATTGCTAAATGCTGGCCTAAATTCAATGGATCTGACTTGGGAATAGTAAAACTAGTAGACTAGCCAAAAAATTTTGAAATTTAGGTAACCTGAGCTTCAATCTGGGCTTTCGGACTCAATTAATTATATCATAAGCAGAAGTTTGTCTGATTGGCTAATAAATTCAATTTAATTTTACATTATTTACTAGCTCTCAGGCCTGAGTAATGCTCCGGGGCTAGGTTCTATATATTTTTAGATTTCAGATTCTGTATTTAATTTTTAAATAAATTTAAAAATATATAATATATTTATAATTTATAGTTTTTTAGTTTTCATGCTTAGGTAATATTCCAGGTCTAGATCTTAAGTGTTTTAAATCTTAAATTTTATAATTTTTTAGCTCTTAGGCCTAGATGCAATTTTTAAAATTAAATTATTTATAGTTTTTTTATAATTTCTCAAAAACTAATAATTCAAATTCTTAAAGTATTCGAAGAAGTTGGATATAGCACTGATATAAACAAAGTGTGAAACATAATATCCTATGCAATAAAAGATGCAGCAAACAAAAATATACTGAAAAAGAAGATAATCCAAAGAAATAGCAATATTGGAAGAAAGAAAAGAACAACAATGTTGCACAAAGGAATAGTAGCACTGAGTAAACTACTGCAGAAGACTAAGAAGTTGGCAAAGAAAGAAAAAACTAAACTAAACTTAGAGAAAGTTAACGAAAAAGTAGATAAGATAAATAGAGAATATGGTCTAGAAATAGGTTATATAAAAGAAAACAAAATAACAGATTTTGAAAAGTGGTATCAGTTAATGAAAAAGCAGTGGCAGGCATTAAGAATAGCAAAGAATATAAAAGAAGACAGGTGTACAAGAAATAAAATTAATACTGCAGTAGATAGAAGATGTGAGAGAATTGATAGAGAAGTAGGAAGAATGCTTTCCAGTATTCTAGACAAACTGTACAACAAAAT